CTTCTTCGTCTTCTTGTTTCACATGTCATCATCTTTTTATTCTTTCATTCTTTTCACTCATGTCGTCCCCACAAACGTATGAAAATTGCCCATTTATGTATATGAAGTATATATATATATATATATATATATATATGAAAGAAGTCATGAGTGAAAGCTTTCTTTTTTTTTTTAAAAAAGGACGATATTTTATTGGAAGGCCGGCCATTTTGTGGTACTGCATACTTATATACATTATACTTACATGCATGCTTGTTGGAAATCAAAAGCAATCTCCCATTATTCATAAAAATTCAAAAAAGAAAAAAAGTGAAAGAGATGAGAGAGAGCGAGAGAGAGAAAGAGAGAGAGAGACCTGTAGTAGTGTTCTTCTGTGTCATAACAACTAGGGTTACTGTTACTACTTTATTAAAAATTTCTCTTTTTCTTCCCAACTTTGGAATCTTCAACATGAAACTTGATTTCTTGGCTAATTGTGTCTGTATATATATCATTGTTATTATATACATCCATATACTAAATGTGTGTATATACATGACAACCAAAAATCAAATTAGTGGAGAGGAGAGTCAACTTTCTTTGCTTAATTATGAATTTAAAAAATGATTGATTTTGAATTTAAAGGTATTTGTTTTGTTTCAAACCTACCACATCCTCTATAAGTTGTCTCCTTAATTGCTTCAACAATTAATTTATCACTAATAATCATAAAAAAGATTATGTTAAAATAAGGGAACCAAAAAATAAAGTGGCTTCATAACAATCAAGTTCATATAAGGTAATTGCAAAACTTGTTTTGCTAGCATATCTGCAACTTGATTACACTTTATAAGACTCGATGAAACATAAAAATTATTAACATATCGAGAAATAATAAAATCATTATCGATAAATAAGTCTTAACTCCGACATATTTGAGGTGGTTGAAGATAATAACTTAGCAATATCTTGAGAATCACCCTCCACTACAAGATTTGGAAGACTTTTCTCAATTGTTACCTTTAAACCAAATAGCAAAGTTGATATTTCCATAATGTCCCATCTCATGCATGTAAACAACACATCACCATTATAGTTTCTACAAGTTATACAAAGCCCATTCATTCCCCTCATCTCATTAAAGCGTCATAATTAAGTTTGCACCATCTTGCATTGGGGTCAATCTTTGAGGCTTTGACAAAACATCCTCCAATACATGATTTTTCACTATTATTAAGGTTTAAACTAGATTTAAGAAAAACGTGATGTAGTTTATTTAACAAGACATTAGGTTCAACCTATTTGTTATTGTTAAGCCACATGTTCCTCATCAACCATATTCCCAATAACATAAGAATAAACCACACACGATAATCTATATATTTATTGTCAATCCCATGAAGTAGCCACTCATGAGAAGATAAAAGAATAGATATATTAGCTCGAAGAGGACTCATCTCTTATATTTTCTTTGTATACTCACATTTTTGAAATAGATGCACAATTGACTCATTTGCCTCCCCACAAATAGAACAATAATATTCAATCCTTACAATCTTTTATTTTAATATGCTCATAATTTGTAATACATCATTATATAGGCACCATACAAAGTGATTGACCCTAGGAAGGGTAGGAGTATGCCAAATTCATTTCCAAATAAAATAACTCTCTCTAGAATGTGAAACAATAGAATTTCGTTGATTACCATCCCATACTCGATAGTATCTAGCTTCACAGAATATAAGAGAACATAATGGTTGATTTTTATAGGCTAATGGATTAACTTGATACCTTTTTTATGCAAAAATTAGGATCAACAATATAATCCAAAATCCTGTATATACATCGGCAATAAGGAATTTAATATTCTAAGTAAACCCTCCCTACTTGACTCACACTCAACAGGGGAGTAGAAACCAAGGTAACATGGAAAAGAAACCGGAATTGACAAGACGACACAAGACTTACCTTGATAAATGATCTCAATTCCTTTCTCACAAGTCGGTCGTAGACACACTCACTCAACTTGCTCTTAAAAGCTTAAAAGCTAAAGAAAAAATAACTGAATTTTATTAATAATATGAAATAGTGATTATAAGTGAGGGTGGTGGTCTTTATTTATAAAGTTTAACCATTTTTATTTGACTTCAACTCTACATTAAGAATCCTAAGTCTAATTCTTAATTTTAATCCCAATAAAATACTGAAACTTAATTTAATTAAAACTAAAAAAACTTAATTAAAAAATACATAATAAGTTGCTCTCTCCCTAGATAGCTAAGGTTGTCATTTGGACTCTTCCTTTGGTTTCTTTTTTGGTCTTAAACTCCAATTATTTTTTCTTTTATCTTGCAGGTAGAGGCTAGACAGATATTTCTTCCAGAATCATGAGTGGAATAGAAGTTTAGAGGCCAATTAGGACTTTTCTTCCCCTCAGTCGAACATTTTCTTCTTCATGCGCGCAATCTTCATCTTAATTACTCATCTTGGCCTCCTTATTTTATTCATCTTCAATCTTCTTCTTCTCTTTTTCTTCTGATAATTGCAACTACGTTAAATTCTTGTTCCTTGATGCATATTAGAACTAACTTTAAAAGTATGAAGGTGGTCTATGGCAAAGGATGATATTGCTCGTGTTGAGGTGTATCTATTTTCATGCTTTT